CCGACGTACAACGACTGCCACCAGTGCAACCCTGCGGCCGCGCTCGGACCGTGTGCGCAGTCTGCATACCGTGCAAGCGGCTATGGGCAGTCCGACTCCGGCGCGCAGCCTACTGCTACGCCTGCTCGTTCAAGGTTTCGACGCTACGAGCGAACTGTGGGTCACGAGACACTAGTACTGCCGCTATGTTATCGAGACATGGGCGCACTCGTGACACAATACCGTAGGACGGAGGATGTGGCGGCGCAGCGTCGATGACGCCTGCACAGCGGCACCATACGCCAGAGGCTTACGAGGACATATGGGCGGCGATGGCGTGTGGCTGCGATTCGACCTGCGGCTTCACCCAACATGACGCTACACTGGCAAGCCCTGTGGGAGAAGAAGATACTCTCATACTATATCATTTGCTTCGCCCGTGAGGCTTCTGCAGATCCGTCTCATCTGAACGCCGACGCTCGACTCAGCGGCTAATAAGCATTCTTACGATGCATGAGAGTGCATGGGGCCCGGCCATCGGAGGTCGATTGTGTCCAGTGGTGAAATCAACTTCTCCAGAGGGTCCACGAATGGTACAGAAGGAAGCGAGGATAATATTGAACACGATCCGACGATAGAGTACAACAAAGTGGGAATGATATAGCACAACAAGGCTGGTAGGGGTGACTGATCACAGTGATGAGGTAGTAAGAGTCCGTTAGGTACTAGGAAAGTCACGGGTGCATCGCTGAGTACACGAACTATCTGGATGGTAATCCGCAATAATAAAGTAAAATCCGTAGTCCGTGGGCGTCGTGGTCAGTGGACGGTATAATGATACAGTATAGGTAGCATAAATACGGGTACGTGGGGGAGGGCTCATTGCGAGGAGAACAGCAAAGCAAGCTCAAAGCAGATGGACGTCCGAGATAAGTAGGAAACTGGCGCAGATACGCAGCGGATGTGGGATGTGTGTGGACGAGACCCACTGGGATCGACCATGAGTGGTCATGCTCGTACACCACGATCGTGGTAGAGGGCAGACAGTGTCTGTCGTGCAGCCTCTTCCTTGACTGCGTTCTGGCTGGAGCCGGTGCACCTCCCGTACTCGACTCCTCGAACTACAGTAACAGTCAGTTGAGCTCCCGCTGCTTATGAAGTCAATGAGATTACGCACTGTAGGCTACTGCGGTCCATATCGGCTGGTGTAATGGGCCAGACTGGTTCACCTCCCAGGACAGAAGCCTGGCGCCTCCGTTGCTCTGGAGGTAGTTGTTGAGGCGCATTCGCCAGTCTGTTGAGCGTGTCAGTGATTGTTAGCTATGGATTTAGAATGCACCACTGACGGTCAGGTTCTGCCATTGTCTATGTTATTCTCTATGCGTGACTGTCGTGACACGACTGTCCCTCGCGAAGTGCGTGTGCGAGGGGATGAGTGGTAGGATGGGATAATAGTATGAGAGCAGTGGGGAGCAGACCTACGTATTATAAAGGGAACACCCCGCGCTTGTGGGCGGACGGTATCCAAGGACTGCTGGTGAGTCAATGAAGCACAGCTGTATACCCCGAGATACGACGATTTGGCGGTCCGGGAACACGGTGTCCAGACCACTGGGTGTATGGGCGTATACCAACGGCTCGGTTCACCGCTATGACAAGGCATCAGGGTACGTGTGCAAGCAATGCGAGTATTACATCAAGGTGTGCTGGTCAATCAACACCGAGTCATCCGTGTCCGCCCTGCGCGCACCGACGTTGTCCATGTGAGGTCCTAAAATGGCAGAGAATATAGTGTGAAACGGAGACATTTCGACCTGACAGGCGCAGCGACTGCGAGAAGTGGGCGCAAACATGTTTGAATTCGCGCGAATCCTAGGATGGCTTGCTGGGACGGCACAGAGTTCCGATAGATGCTGTACAGGTACTTCCTGTTGATGCTTATGCAAGAGTGGTAGGCCTACTGAATGAGGAGGCACATGCCAATGTGCGTCGCAGCTGGTGGCCGAGTCGCAGGTATCGTTCGAACAACATCAAGTCACGGCCGGAGTCACCGCGCGCGTGCTGACTCGTCCGCCACACCTGCCTGAAATGGCAGTTTATCGGTCAGGTGACTGGATCCGAGTCAGTACGTGCCGGTTGCGCGCTGCGGCCGAGCGTACGTGTTCCGCCGTTCGAACCACTACCACGGCTGAGGATGCCTCAGAAAGCATTCCTTCCCCTCGCTTTGTCGGTTTTCATAAGCAATGCAGCCTATTTCAAAGCACAGACCGCTATCGCCGTGGCAGTGCACCTCCGTTGTTCGGCTCTGATGCAGACGCAATCTCATCCGTCATTTACCTCCGAGATCCCTCGTCGTCGATACAGTACTGACAGATACATCTCCTGAGGCACTACGCAACTGCAAAGCAGTTCGGGGCCTTATTCTGATGAACGCGGAACGATGATCGAACGTCTGAAGGCAGCCACCACTGCTGAAGGTGGCAGCCCCGGGCTACAGCACCTACTCGCGATTCACGCTTCCAGCGTATTCTCACTTCCAACGCTACGTGCGCTACAGATGCGCCTGCTGATCCGGAAACCTGGTGTTGTGCGAGCTTGCACATGCAGCAGGCTCGTTTCGATGCCTTTTTTGTCGTTATTCGCGGCACTGCCATCGCCGATCATACAGCGTTCTCCATGATTACCGACCAACTAAAACATCCTCCAAGCTCTGCAGGTTGTACTTGATTCAACCTCAGAGTCTAGTATCCGAGCCACCGGCACTAAGGGGGCGTGAATAGCAAACTTGGTTAGCACAGTCCGACACTGACAGTTGACAGCTGCAGGAGATGACAACATCCGTTTGCATGCGGAGGGCCCGGAACAAGTTCAACGCAATTAACGGGAGATATTGCCCATGGTGACATCACTAGTTGATAGGTTGTTAACAAGTTGCAACGGGCTACGAATAGCGTGTCCCTCCTCCGTCTCTCAGGCACGTCCGAAAAAGGCACTCCTATGAGTGTACCAATTGAGCAGCTTCATTGTGTGTGGTTTGATATGAACACCGGCTTGTCAGTGCTATCTTCGATAGCAGAATGGAGGCGGTGGCAATGGCCGTGGTTGTACATCTGCTGGTACCGTTCCACAGTGTCAGCCCACCATCGTGGTTCGAGCGCTCTCGCGTGGAAGAGGAACTCAAAGCATCGGACTGGTTATCTGAAGAGTTCAAGCACCGAACGCAGGTATAAACCTCCGTTGGAATCGGGCGTGTTACCATAAGAAGATAGAAATTCCCAAAGACACAGCAAGACAATACTGAAGGAAGCTGTTGACCCAGAGGTGCGGTAGTGTGGTACACTTAGCCTTTGTTCACCCGTAACTCGTCTACTCTCCGGCCTACATCTTCGACCCGGTCGTCCAGTTCCTTGACATTCTTCTTGACAACATCCTCGTTCTCCTTCATGCTACTCTCCACACCGTTGACAGCGCGTTCGAGTTCTTCCAAAGCCGCTCGGACCTTCCGCTGTTCCTCCTCCAGGCCTTCCAGTGTATTGTGAAATCCAGCAGCAGACGTGTGCAGCGCCGAAAGGGTGCGGAGACGGGTGAGAACGTGGGGTATATGTGGCAGAAGCGGTGCCAGGCGTGTCAGGATCGGAGTAAGCTGGTCGTAGACCGCCGCGGGCATTGGCGGAGCGGGGCCGCTGGCCGCCGCGGGCTGCGGCGATGCAGAACTCGGTGCATGATGAGAGGACTGACGGCGTTGCGAGCCATGCGGGTGCGCACTGGCGCTCGACACGCGCTCGAGGTCGGACAGGAGCAATTTCAGACGGCGCGAGATGGAGTCGACGTGCCGCGGCTGCGTGAGCAGGGTCAGTTGTGCGTTGAGCCGCGTCAGCATGGGCAGCAGCGGCGGGGGCAATGGGGAGAGCTACGCGGGGAGGACTTAGCTCTTGGACGGCGAGAGCAGGACGCAATCGGCAGCTCACCTCGTCCAGAGCGGTGCTCGACGAACCAACAATCTTCTCGAGCTCGCCCACGCGGCGGTCCATTTCCACAATGTCTTTGACGTCAGGCGTCCCAGTGCTCGTTGGCGGCGGGGCCGCCTGATCGGACGGCGCGCGCTTGCTGGTGTCCTTGCCCTCCCGGAGCGTCCCTTTCGTATTGTCTTGTTCATCCGCGGAGTCTTCTCCGAGCACAACACTGACCAATTTCCCCTTCCCCTCTTTCCCCTTGCTTATTTTTCCCAACCGGTTCTTCACGTCCACCATCCCCCGGATCAACTCACCGGGGTCATGACCTGCATCCCGCTCCTTCTGCAGCAACGGATTTGATGGGTCCGACAGTTCATTCTCTAGGGTAGCTAGCTCCGCTTGTAGAATCCGCAGCCTATGCGACAGCGGGAGCGCTGGAGTGACGGAGGGCGTTGACGGAGGCGATGTATCGGAGGTCGGGGATGGAGGATAGACATACTGTATTCGCGGACGATGGTGCTCTACACAGCCGTGTGCAGGCAGGTCAACTCATGGGCAGGTCAAAGGCGACATACTACGTACTCTTCTCCGCTTTCCGAAACTTCCTACTGGCTTCCTCCGGGCTCAGATGTGTGCCGTCGAGTTCCTCGCGGCCGGGTGCCTCGCCGTTCTTTCCCCGTGCCACCGGTCGGTTGGTCACTCCTACTTCATCACCACTCGAGTCTCCTTTCTGAGACCCTGTGTGAATGAGGCGGCTCGATGAACAAAGGCATGACGCACGCTCTCATGAGCGGAGGGAAAGACATCCTCCGTCTCATAGACGTCCGGGGCTGTGTCCTGACAGAAAGAGTGTCAGTAGGGTATCGATACGGGTAAATCATGCTCACGATGTCAGGAAGATTGGCGTACTTCGCGCTCATTAGAGGTAGTAGCCAAGTACCAGAAGCGTTGTGCAGGTCGTTAGTCCGGATGACAGTTGCGCAACAGTCGCGGTGCGGCCAAGGCCCAATAGCATGCGCGGTACGTGTCCAGTCACGTGCAGACGAATGAAGAAACGAGCAAAAAGAGCGTCACCTGTGCGATTCGAACACACGCGGGCAAAGCCCAACCGCTGACAGCTACGAATAGCAGGCGATCCCGTTAACCACTCCGGCAAAGTGACCCACCATAATTTTATAGCCATAGTACTATGATCAGCGAGCACAATCCTGTGGCTGTCGGCAAGTAAGGACCCTCTGAAAGTTTCACAGTGAAAGTGAGCCTCTTCCTCGTCGCCTCCGGCCAAGTCACCAACGGGCCCAAGCTATTGCCCCCTCGATCTACCCACCATTTTTCAAAAAAGAGCTCGCACAAATCGATGACTAGTGGTGACTGTGGAGTACCATCGAGTCGCATAAGATCGCCGCAGTCCATGCAGCTACTACACCCGTACGTAGGCCACAGTGAACCCCCCTCCACATATACCAGAAGGCCTCCACTGTCCAAACAGATGAGGTACGACTCGGATGTGGCCTAGACGTCGACCTCACTCCTTTATACCTTTTGACGACAAACACCGTGACTAGGCTTCAATTGAAATGAGAGCGGCATTCGGAAGCGTAAGCGTTAATGATCGTCAGGTCGCGGACACGTCGGGTAGAGCGTATGCGCTCTATAGCAAACAACAGAGAGCAGAGATCCCGTACAGCAAGGTGGCCTTTAATAAGCCTGCATCACAAGGTGGGGCAGTGAACAAAACAATCCGCGGGTGATTGTGCCCAAGATGTCTTAGCGTCCATCTATTGTGTGTACAGCCCTGCTTTGGCCGCCACTGTCGGCCGGCCCCTGAAGCTTGGAGGCTGATTTGGGGACATGAAACTCTCCAGCACTGTCCCCTGCGCCACAGCGTCGACGACACGGTTGAACAGCTACGCCGATGATCTCTGGACCTCTTCCCGTCACCGCGACGTCCTTCTCTGTGCTCGTGCGACAATACTGACGGATCCTGTCAATCACATCTCCCCGCATCATCGTAACTGACGATCCTCCAACGAATTCGACATTTGACGGCTACTTAACGGCATGCCAAACGTTAACGTAGTGGCCCGCGAAGTGTCGCTCGGTATTAGTCGCAGCACCGGTACGTGGTCACACACACTTGGCATCACGCGCGTAGTAGACTCACCTCAGACACTATGAACACCAGCGGCGGCATTATGTTTCCTGGCGTACGATATATGCCTTACAGCAGACCTCGAGGTACGTCTTGGAGCCACTGGAGTGGCGTTAGATTTTGACCATTTCCTTGAAAAACGATTAGATCACCTATATCTGGAGGTGAGCGTCGCCCCGAGATGTCGGTCTGCGTCGTGGCCATTGACGCGTATTCCCGCTTTAACAGAACACCATGGGCATCTGCGAAACCGTTCTACTTCATCGCGCGATATTACTCTTTGGTTGCACTCATGTGTGTCTCATCGCCATATGTGTCGAGTCCCACTGAACCAGTTGTCTGCAGCGTCAAGAATGCGTACCCCTTCACATGTCGAGAATGGATCGTCTTCGAGAGCATATCTGTTCTCATCCTCGAGCTGAGTGTCCAGGTATTGCTCATGCTCAGACGTACGTATAGCTACTCGTCCCATGCTTCTAACCCAAGCTCACTTGTGGCCTCGCTCAGTGTTCGCCATGTACCTCGGCAGCAAGACTACAATGCGGCTCATGATGATCCCCTTCGTCATACAGGCCATCGTGATGATCGTCTGCATTGGGCTTAGCGTCCCACATATCCTCACAAGCCCTGGATGCATTGAGGCCAGCGTCCCAGTGACGTTGGTTGTATATTGGTGCGGGCTTCAGATTCTATCTTGCGGCCACCGCCATAGCTGACAACGTAACGCACCATACTCAGCATCGTCTCGATCGTGTTCGAGTCGTACCTCTTCGCGCTCACGATATCTCGATATCGGCGCGCACAGCTAGATGGCATGGCGAACATTGGCCTCATGTCCGTGTTGGTCCGGGACGGCGTACTCGCCTTCGCAGTCATATTCGGTGCGTCTCTTTCGAGTTTTGGCAGATGCCCGTAATCATTCAGCCCTTGGTGCAGTCGCGACGGTGACGAACGCTATCCTTTTCACGGTTAGCGCAGGCCAGAACGCGGTTACGACGGCAGGGTTCCCGTGAGTGCAATCGTCGTCCGCTCGCCTGAGGCTTGCATGCTCACCCCTCCCGCAGATGGCTCCTTGCTGTACTCGGCTCGGCGGTACGTTCGATCCCGCTACGGATGTCTATCATCACTGACCAATGAGATCTTAAGGGTTCCCGTCTCGTGCTGAATGTGAGAGAGGCCAATCGCAGGCAGTCGACGCCGCCGTCCCCAGACGACTTTGACATGAGCACCGCGGCTTACCGTGCCATAAACCAGCGTGACGGCGACTGTTACGGGACAGACGACGACACCCTAGAGCTCAAAGAGGCGCGAAAGTCGTCTATCCAAACCGACGAATCTCCGTCCCCCTCCTTTGAACGAAGACCGCTCGCTTGTTAGCAGTCGCCCATCGCCTTTATATCGTAACTTATCCTTTTCGTCACGGCTACGTCTATCCCAAAGTCTAGCTTCATATCACTGGACGAGCACCCACGCATCAAGTCTGAACTGCATTATCTCTCCATTGCCTACTGGACGTTGCTCAGGGTGGATCCCTCGGCTGTAACATACAACTGATTGTCACATCCCTGCATGCCTCATGTGTTGAATATACATCAGACTTTCATGTACGTACAGGGAGCATTCAGTACTCAACCTGAACGCAGCGATTCCGCTCTCGCAATCCACAAGTACGCACGTGTAGTAGCCATAGAGCCCTGCCGATGTGTAGGTCAACCGCTCAGGGCAACGTCGCTGCGTCAGTTCCTAAGGCCAGGATACAATAAATGGAGAGCACCGTTGGTGATAAGTTATGCAGATGTGCCAAATACAGAGCAAGAGGTGTCCATGATAGCGTAAGTTTGCAACGACGAGGTTTACAGGACGTGAAAGCAGTCAGCACAGCAAAACAGAGACAGAAATTCCGAGCAGCGATAGCGCGACGAGAGCAATACGTAGATAGCGGGATCAAATTCTGACTTCAAGTTGGATCTGGTAGAAGCGTAAGGATACGTGAGGGCGGTATGCAAGTAATGACGCACCTTCGATATGGCTTTGTCGATTTCCTGTATGAGGAGACCCTCAAACTCCTTGAGGTACACTTTGCGCGAGGCCTTTTGCGTCAGGCAGGTCTTGCACGAGGCATTGTCCAACTGCTCCTCGCCCACATCCGACTCGACGACTGTGGTCCGATGGGGCCTCTCCCTGAGCCGCTGCCTCATATCCATCATGTAGCTCTCGAACCATGTGGCAGAGCGACAAGGGATGCGCGCGGCACCGTACGGCTTCTGTACCGCCCCATCAGCGCAGATACAGTTGAACCACGGCCACTGCGTCGTGGTGAGCCAGTCCAAGACGGCACCCTCCTCGTTCGGCTGTGCGGTGTCCACCAACCTCGAGACGGCGTCCGAACAGGCGGAGTGGTACGCGCGGAGGCGGAACCACGCGCCCGCGCTGATGAGCTCCATCTCCGGGATGTACGAGTCCCAGCGGATCTCCCAGCGGAGCGTGCACCGCGCGGCCTCGCGCATCTCGTCGACCCACCCACGCGTGACGGCGACGATGTACGCCTGGAGCGGCTGCTGCGCCGCGCGCGAGAGGAACTGCTTCTTTGCTTGGGCCACGACGTACACCATGTCGTACTTGCGCGCGGCCTCGAGGACCTCGCAGGTGTTCTTGAGCGTGGGCAGGAGCGGGTCCTCGACCGGGTAGCAGAAGCGGAGCAGCGCATCGAGCACGCGGCTGCCCTCCGAGATGCCCACAACCTGGATGCCGTCTCGATACTCCGTCTCGTCGCGCTCCTTCCGCTTCCTGTTCTCCGGTAGCTGGGGGAGCGAGAACATGGACTCGAAGACTGGGGATGCCTCGGCGAGGATGCTTTGGCGGACGCGGAAGTCGACGTGGTCGGAAGAGCGTAATATGACATCGGCGCTGCGCTTGTTGAAGGGAGGCGGCGCATCTCTCGCGTTAGCACCCTTCGTTCGTGAGGCATCGGTACTGTTTGTCGGAACTTTCGTCTCCAACATACCGAGAGCGTGGGCCTCTGCGGTTCTGCTGTTGGATTGATTTAGTCACCATGCGAGGCTGAAGTCGTGGTGCAGACCTTGGTGACAAGCAGAGCGGGGCAGAGTACACACCGTAGCGCCGCTTATTCTCCCGAATCTTGACCGCAGTGCCGGGGTCCGGGTGCGTTTGCCCGAGAAGAAGAAGGAGGAGGAGGAGGAGGAGGGATCAGATCCGAGTTTGCCAGCCTGAGGACGCACGGTGAATTAGCGCCCAAGCGTTCCAACCAACCCAGATCACTCACGTGACCGTAAAGGAGATAGCTCAAGCGCCTCAGCCCAGGATCAGTGCGCGTCTCGCGATCACGAAGGTGAAGTCTTGACTCTGCGCACGCTCTACTCCGGCTCGTACAGGCCTAAAGAAAGTTGTTCTCTGCAAAACGCTTGATTTGAGCCTCATCATTAATTTTGCCTTGATCCTGGAGGGGACGTCTTCAAGCGAGCTGTTGAGGTGATCGCAGCATACGAATCCTCATCGCAGGCCTAGGTCCCGGAAGGGCCGTAGCAACACCGGCCTACTTGAGATCCTGGATATCTAGTCGAAATTACCTGTTGCCATGTCTTCTATAGTCAAGACGAAGCTCAAGGCAGCCAAGGACGCGGTAGGGAAGAAAGACTATGAGAAGGCGCGCGATGCATCTCTTGCAGTCTTAGACTACGACTCAGAGAACTATCACGCGTATGTTGCCATATCTCCCTTTACGGTGGCATATACCTAAAGTGAACGTCAGAAATGTTTTTCTCGGTGTGTCGTATCTCAATCTGGGTGACCTCCGGCTGTGCGAGCAAGTGACGTAACTTAACGATTCGAGCACCAAGTGGTAACTAAACACATCCATCTCCAGGCATATCAGAAGGCCACCGCTTCATATCCAAACCAGCCCCTTGCGTGGCAGGTACGGCAGATACCATATTATCACAGTAAAAGCCCTCCGACTTACATTTTGAGATCAGGGACTATCGCAACTCTAC